ATTATACTCTGAAGCAAGAGCTACTAGCAAATGGAATATTGAGCAGAAGGTGATGAATAAAGATCAGTACCAGCAGGAACAGAACAACCTGAATAGTATGGATGCTTTGAAGGGAGAGGATCTAGTGCTGTTTTTGCTAGAAGTGAGGATGAAGATTCGAGAATGGAAACTCCTTGACCAACCTACAATCATGTATTGGGAAGGAAGAGGAGCAAGGAAGAAGAAGAAGATTGTGGCTGTTTCCTATCACCCACCTTGAGGGCAAGGTGGATGTTTAGGGGGGAGTAGTGTAACTTTGGCAAAGATAGATAATTCGGAAATAGAAGATAGATACTTTGGCAAAGTATATTCTAGAAGAAAGTAGAGTTAGTTATTAGTTAAAGGCGTTGTTAGCTAATAACTGTCTTCAGTTGTATTAGTTACTTACTTACTATAAATAGTAGCTAGTTGGAATGGGTGAGGAGGCTGTTTAGACTTTTATCTTGTATTTGGAAGTTAGAGACTAAGGAAGTGTTTGGAACTGATTCTGTTTCTGCTTCTTTTTTAAAGCAGAAGCAGAATCAGAATCAGTTTTCCGAAGCTGGTACCCCCAGCTTCTAAAAAAACTGATTCTAGGAGTAAATTAGAGCACCAGAATCACTTCTGCATTTTCACCCAAACACTCCAACTTCTGCTTCTGCTCCCTGAAGGAGCAGAAGCAGTTTTAAGAATTAGGGGGTGTTTGGATCTGATTCTTAAAACTGCTTCTGCTCCTTCAGGGAACAGAAGCAGAAGTTGGAGTGTTTGGGTGAAAATGCAGAAGTGATTCTGATGCTCTAATTTACTCCTAGAATCAGTTTTTTAGAAGCTGGGGATACCAGCTTCTGAAAACTGATTCTGATTCTGCTTCTGCTTTAAAAAAGAAGCAGAAGCAGAATCAGTTCCAAACACCCCCTTAGATCCAAACACCCCCTAATACTCTCTTTCTTTGGGGGCTTCGGCCATTGGGGGCTTCGGCCAGATTCTTGTTCATCGTTAATAAAATTGCAGATCGTTTTCTTGAGATATTCGTGAGAATTATCTGAATAATTGGATAACTCTAACAGGAACACTGTAGCAATATTACAAAATAAAGGCCGACTTCACCAATTCAGCAACTATCCCAAAGAAGAGTTATCAAATTGTTACGGTGACCCAATTTTTATTGTAACAATCAAAGAAAATCTGATCAATCATCATCAATGAGGCAATACCTGTGAAATATGCAAACATCAGCTATGAACTGGAGTCTCATAGATAGGCCGAAGATTAGATAAGTCTCCACACAGCTAAACCTTTCTAGCCTCTGAAGCAAGTCCATCTAATTCTCTTTTTATAGTATTGTGCCAAATGCAAGATCTCATTTATAGGATGCCCCAAATCAGTGTCACAAGAATCACAAGTCGGTCCAAAATGTTTTCTTTTCCCTGTCTTTGAAGATCCAGAAGCACATGGCACTTTTCCAGCAATATGATTTTTTGCACCAGGCTGAAGATCAACAAAACTTCTACTCCGAGCATCACCATCATGAGATTCAAACATATTGATGCACTCCCTACCCTCAATCCAGGTGAAAATCACTTTCAGTGTTTATAAAAAAAGGTCAAGAAAAACAAACCTTCCGTGGAACAAAGAAAAATTACAGCGCACACATATTGAAACATGGAAAGCACACTTGTTGGAGAAGTTTTTCTTTTGGAATAATTTTAGATAAACAGTTTTGCAAATCCTGAAATTCGTCTGAAGAAATAGATGATGAAGGCCAAAGAAGAAATTTTCTCATCATCTTCACGGGAATGCAGCATAGAAACTGCCAAACAAGTGATGCCTGATAGGAAACCTCAACAAACGCAGCAGAAATTGATGATTTACTGACTATGAAATCTGTCGATTACAACTAAGAAGGAAAGAAACGGAAATAAAGAAGAAAACAGATCGAGACAGTTCGAGTCGTCTCACACTCCCAAGGCCTAATCCAGATCCAAATTCTGCCTATCTTCTTCTAAACCCCAATCCATATTTAATATATGCCTTATGGGCCGGCCCAAAGCTATTTAGTTACAATGCCTAAGCCCTTTATTATTATACACTATTAAAAGACTATTATTCTTATCACTAATACTATCTAGGTCCCTATCAATACTCCCCCCTTTGACAACCACCTTGTCCTCAAGGTGGGGAGTACGAAACAGCCATGTCCTTCAGCTTCTTCCTCGCGCCTTTGCCTTCCCAATACATGAAGTGGCAAAATCTTCCCATTTGGATCTAGAGCTTCACAATGAATATTCAGTACATCCAACAATGTTCTAGCAACTGTGGTTCCCTTAACAGCTTCTTGTTTTAAAATTCTATCCACGAGGTACCCTATCTGGGAGACATCAATCACAACCGCCTGAAAGGTAGGATCCAGCTCCACCTTGATTCCACCTAAATGTATAATTCCAGATTGAAGCATTTCCCTGATGATCCTTTCAATCTCATTCTTCTGATATTGTGGATACCTGTAGGGCCTTAAGTTAGGTATTTCTGCTCCTTCCTTTATGTTGATGGTATGGTTACAAGTTCTGGTGGGAAGTAACCCTTGTATAGGAGTTGATATCTCACGCAATTCAGCCAAGGTTTCTTCCCAAATGGGATCCTTCTGAGGGCCTTCCTCCTCTTCTCCTATTCTGCCATCACAGAACACCATATAACCATCCCCAATATCCCTCATGATCTTTGACATAGTCTGCAATGACATTTCAATAGAATTTAGCTTAAGATCCCCCTGAATGGTCTGAATTATCCCAGACTGTTGCCACTTGATACCATGCTTCTGAAAATTGGCTTCCACATCCCCCAAAATGGTCAACCATTCCATGCCAAGGACCAAATCAGTTTCCCCCAACTCCAGGATATAGAAGTTTTGTTGGATGACAGTTCCTTGCATACTCAAAATCAAATCCTCACATCTGCCCTTATTGGAGATCTATCACCATTTCCAATCTGTATCTTAAGTATGAGATAGTGTAATAAGGTAAATTGAATTGTTCTACCAATTTCTGAGATATGAAATTGTGTGAAGCCCCACTATCAATCAAAACCTCTATTTGCTTTTCTCCATTGGCCCATTTCAGAATCCCATGCACCTTGAAAGCCCTCATGGAGGGTATCCCTTCTTTACTCATAATACAAAGTTGCATGGACTTAAATTCCATGACAACCTCCTCCTCATCTGAACTGACTCCATTACGTACAGGTATTCTCGCATTTTCATTACTACGACGATGATCATTGATATTAGAATGAACCGAGTTACCTCTTGAATGTACGGGACTGTGTGGCGATCGCGTTCTCCCCCTTGATCCAAGTTTTTCATTCATCGCTGCCATAGATGCGTTGATACTCTCCATCACAGATCTCAACTCCGTCTGTAACTCCGTACGCACTTCCAGAAGGCTGCGCTCCAGTGAATCTACTCGATGCTCCATTTTAGCTCTTGTTCTGACCATCCACACCTTGAACGACTACTTCCTGATGTTGCGACACACTTTCCGATCAACGTTAAGGTCACCAGGAGCGTATTGCTCTGATACCAATGATAGGAAACCTCAACAAACGCAACAGAAATTGATGATTTACTGACTATGAAATCTGTCGATTACAACTAAGAAGGAAAGAAATGGAAATAAAGAAGAAAACAGATCGAGACAGTTCGAGTCGTCTCACACTCCCAAGGTCTAATCCAGATTTAAATTCTGCCTACCTTCTTCTAAGCCCCAACCCATATTTAATATATGCCTTATGGGCCGGCCCAAAGCTATTTAGTTACAAGGCCTAAGCCCTTTATTATTATACACTATTAAAAGACTATTATTCTTATCACTAATACTATCTAGGTCCCTATCAATGCCTGCTCTTCAAATGAGAACTTGTCAATGAGCAAAGGAAAGACCTGCCAAAGATGGAATACTAAACTCCCAGTGTATAATGTACAAATGTGTATGTCATAAATAGCTGTTGTTGGTGTAATGGACAAATTTTACTAAAACTCCACAATGTGTGTCATGTACCTATGGAAATAAAGACTAAAGTATTGAGGGGCAACTGTTAGAAGAATATAGCTTCATTCCGTTCTCCAATATCACAAGTCAGATATTGCAAACAAATAAATATGTACTATCCTCCGTATCTCATTAATTGCAACATTGGAATATATACACTATTCATGTACTTTACTTTGACTACATTTTATTTATTAATGTATGTGAATTATTTTTTGTTTAAAAATGTTGTTAAATTCGTCTCATTACTAAGTTTTATAATCTAAATTTTATTTTATTTTTACTAATACATAATTAAATATAACGACAGTCAAAGTTGTGCGTTGGCAAACGTGAAATGTTGACTGTTGCAACTAAAAAGAGACGGAGGAAGTATATCCTTAATGATCAGAGGCTCAAAGCAAAGGTAAACAAGGTAGTTACAAAGATTCGCGGAAAAGGCTAATAGTGATGAGAAGATACAACCACAGGGGTCAGTTGATATGTGCATGTGCGTTCTGTGCATGATTTATTCATTGATTACAGATTATTAGTAAATGTTACTGAAATGACCCATTGGGAATATGTAAAATTGTCCATGAAGTCAATATTTCATATCAGAGAAAAGGAGTCAGAAGCACCACTATCGTAACTAGGACATCGAATTCATTGACAACGTCAAGAACAAAGATTGCATGTAGTGGTTAAGTGGTTTCATGGAAACATTAAGAAAACCATCTATTTCAAATTGTCAATATGAAGGAAACTTTGAATTACTTTTAATGATTACATACACTTTCGTACTCCTACTCTTATATAATCATCCGGAGAACTTCAAAAGCCATCATTCAAACTTCAAAGCTTAATGACAATGGAGGGTTAAGTGCAGATTTAGAATAAAAATATCAATACTACATAATATTTCTAAATTGACTTATACTATGTATATTGCAATATTGAAAAGGGAAAGAAAAGTCTTCGCATAATGAAATGGAAGGAGTACATAAGTATGCCTTAATTTTAGTGGGGAAACCACTCTCATTTAAGCAGTTAATGGTCTATGATATATGTCTAGTGCACAACAAAGTAACTCACTATCATGCAATGATAGTGAGACAAAACTATTCTATTCAGATAATATTTGAGATGTAAACGTATTGTTATGAGTTTAATTTTAAATAGTTGTGCATATTTCCTCTTAGATGCAACAATATTTCTTTATATCAACTTCATTATTATCAGAGTCTAAATATTCATCCAAAAACAAAAACTATTTACACATATCAGAAGCGGGGCAGTTGTTCATCACCTAAGTAGTACTAGTGTTTTCTGGGACCGGAAGCGGGGGCGCTTGCCCCCCATGCCCCCCTAGGTCCTCCGCTGATTACATGCCCCCCCAACGGCGGATGAACCTTCTCTTTTAGCGAGAAATCACAAATAATATCTTGGTTCCATAAAGAAAGAGGAGTGATTGGGTCTGGAACCCCAAGGGCATCCGGGAAACCACCTCTACAGACTTGCAGATCTTACTCCCGATGTAAAAGTACCTACCTACCAATAGTCATTGCATGAGCAACTTCCTCCTCTGAAATTGTGAAAACGTGAACGATCCCTCACGATAATCTCTCTTTCATAAACTTTCGAAATGGCCTTTAAAGCAGAATGGCAATCCACACAAGTTCTCAAATTTTTAACAATTCGGATGCAAGTCCCTGGAGTACTACTCAGCAGTCCATATGCAACAGCCAGCTTCTCACTATGCCAGGCCACGGCATGCTCCTTCTCCTCCTCAATAAGATCGAATGAAACGTGCATGGTGCTAGCAACGTAGCCTGCTTCTCGAGCCCTGTCCAACACTTTCTGTAACTTCTCATGAATTTCGGAAATCTGCGGATGCAACTTCTCTGCGACACGAAATTCATGAACAACACCATTAACCTCAATCCAGCTGCATCCTATATTGGATCGGTTTTTGTTTCTCCTCTCACCCATTACCTCCCTCAGTTGAGCGACTCTCTCCCATTTACCCTGAGAAGCATAACAGTTTGAGAGAAGCACTTCACCTCCTACACTAGATGCAGAAGAGCCAAAAAGGCCCTTAATATAGTCTATGACGCTCTCTCCGAGATCAGAATTGCGATGGATCCTGCATGCGCTGAGCAAAGCCCTCCATATGACAATATCAGGTTGCACCGGCATGCTTCGAGCTAGTTCAAAAGCCTTCTCCAAGTAGCCCGCACGGCCTAGTAAATCAACATAACAGCCATAGTGCTCAATCTTAGGCTCAATTCCCCATTCTTTCTCCATATTGTAGAAGACATAGGAACCCTCTTCCACAAGGCCCGCATGGCTACAACCGTTTAGGACTCCTAAAATGGTCACCTCATTTGGACTGATATTTCCGTCGTCTAACATTCGCTTGAACACATTGAAGGCATCTTTACCGAGGCCATGAATAGACAGCCCAGATATAATGCTCGTAAAATTGTGAACGTCCGGGCTTGTTATTTTATTAAATACTAATTCTGCACAACCTATCCTACCACATTTTGCATACATATCAATTAGAGCAGTGGATACATTGGAAGTATATGGTATCCTACTCTTGTCAATGTGAGTGTGAATCCAATTGCCCTGTTCCAACGCCCCCAGCTGAGCACAAGCAGAGATGGCACAAACTAGAGCAGCCTCATTAGGCTCGCTGCCAGACAACAACATATCGCGAAAATAGCTTAGGGATTCCATGTACCTGCCACTTCCAGCAAAACCAGAAACCATTACAGCCCAAGAAACATCATTACGCATTGGCATTTTATCAAAAGCTTGACATGCATTGGACATCTCTCCATTTTTTGCATACGCACATACTATACTAGTCCATGAGAACACGTCTCTCTCAGGCATTTCATCGAAAACCATGGAAGCATCGCCTGTTCTCTTGAAAACTCCGTACATGTTAACCAACGAATTGGCGACGTACAAGTTCGAGACATACCCATATTTCATCACCAGCCCATGGGCAGCTGCGCCTTGAGTCAACCACATCTGGCGGGAACATGAGGTGATGAGAAAAGTGAACGTGTAATCATCAGGAAGAACCCGACAGGCATGGTCAAGAGACAGCATTTCGCGGAATAAAAGGATGGGTTCAGGAGAAGATTGAAGCTTGGAGTAGGCTCGGATCATGAGATTCCATATCAAGATTGGCGGTGAGGGCAAGGGATATTTGCTGAACAATGCTTTAGAAGAGGAAAGGTCTTGGGCGAAGTGATAGCAATGGATGAGAGAGTTGGTTAAAGAAGCATCTGAAGAGAGCGAAGAGGCAACCAGTCGGGCATGGATTTGCTTGACCTGAGATAGGGGCGGGCGTTGATTTAGCAGCTGAGAAAGTGATTTCACAGTTTGGCGGAAATTCGGGTTTGTATCTTCAACGGGAATGGCGGGAAACGGGTTTGATGATGAGGAAGAGAAAGTTTTTGCATAAAGTTGGGGCCTGAGCGACTTGGTTCTAGAAAATCCCCACATTCGGCTGTTTTCCAAACAGAAAATCCACCCCACCGTAGTTTGAACTTTGAAAGATCTTAGACTCCCTGTTTCTTTGTTTGTTCACTGTATTTTACTCCGTAATTTTTACCAATACTTCACTTGGAGCCGGTTTGACAGAATTAATGGAATTAATGATTCTGCTCAAATTTATGAAGTTCTAGTTGAAATGGTTGTATTGGCTTATTCTGTTGATTTATTAAAAATTATATTTAAAATACGTATTTGTTATTAATAAATAAAATAAAAAATTATACTCCCCCTGTTTCAAATTGTTTTGCAAAGTCAACATTTTTTGGTCAACCAATCATAAAAGTCAATCCTTCCTATCGATAATTAACTCAATTTTGACTTAAAATTTACAAAACTACAGTATAATCTCTTCAAAGTTGCAAACTCTAAATTAGAATATAATAAAAAATTGACATCCTAATTAAGCAAATAAAATGAAACTGTTTGACCAAGAAAAGTCAAATTTGCAAATCAATTTGGGACGGAGGTAGTATGTAAAAGTAGCTAAAATGATACTCCTTCCGTCCCGCAAAATAGTTCCCGGTTTCCTTTTTGGGTTGTCCCAAAAAATAGTTCTCATTTTCTGTTTTGGAAAATTTTGTGTGGTTCACATTCATTTACCTTTTTCTTACTCAACTACAATCATACACTTCTACTTTGTTCGCAAACTAATCAAAGTCAACAGTCAAACAGATCGGATCTCAAACTTAACACATGCAATAAACGCAACAAGAAAAGTAAAAGGCACACGATATGTTGACGCAGTTCGGAAATCACTGGTGCCATCAAACATTCGGATTTTGACACCAGACTCAGACATTTTCCCCAATATGTTACTCAAGAACAAAGAGATTATCAAGAACAGATAATTCAACCAGACGAAGAAGAAAGGCAAAGACAACAAATGCAAGTACTGCAGTCAATAATAAGCTAGCGGATACTGGTTCAGATGTAATCACAGACCAAGAACTAGGGTTTCAAGAAATCCAAGATTCAAACAAATATAGCAATTAGGGTTTCAAGAACACACCAAGCTCTGATACCGATATGTTCGCAGACTAATCAAAGTCAACAGTCAAACAGATCGGATCTCAAACTTAACACATGCAATAAACGCAACAAGAAAAGTAAAAGACACACGATATGTTGACGCAGTTCGGAAGAAAACCTTCCTAATCTGCGGGGTTTCAACAGGGGAAACCCGGTCCCAATATTCCACTAGCTCAGACAAAAACAGTTTACAATCAAGATGGTTGCAAAGCAATGAAAATACAGTATATGCAATAGGTCAGGAATACAACTCAAGAAACAAATAAGAGAAAAGGTTCAGAGATAACCGAATGAAACCCTAAGGCTTCAGAAAAAGAAGACTGCAGGGCTCCTTGTTCTGGAACTCATTTCGAGCTTTCTTCTTAATCCTCAGATTTCCAGGCCTTCTCCTTTCTCTCTAACCGTCCTTGTTAACTCAGGCTTTCGCACAGAAAACCAGCAGCGGAACAACGCTATCAAAGTTCTCAACCTCTCTCTCTCGCTCTAGGGTTTTAGAAAATAGCTCAGAATGATTCAGCCGAAGTCTCTGGAGATAGGAGAGGTTTATATACATAGGGTCCTCCATGTATAAAACCGGTGCTTCAGTTTACCAAGAGGCTCAACCCAGAAAATAACCCGAGACCGAGAAAGGAAGGAGAACACTTAAAGTTCTAAGCCCAACCCAATAGCATAATACAAAAAATTGATTGCTTTGCCATCCTATCTAAAATTGTAAAACTTAGGAAATAATTAGAGAATTAGGATTACTAATCTCAACAATTTGCCCTCATAAGACTCATTCTCAAGTCATCACAGTCCTTAGGTAGCATCATAGCTAGCTGATTGGAATATGGAACCAGGTCTCACTCCATTCATCATTAACCCAATTCATGGACCTACAGTTCAAGGCACCTCAAAGATTTTGAAGAATTTCCTGCAAAATAAGAACTTATCAGTTTGGACAATTTTAGTACCAAAATCAGCAGGATTAACATCTCCAGTAATCTTTTCAATAGACACATTTCCCTTTGCAATTTCATCCCTTATATAATGAAATCTGACATCTATGTGTTTAGATTTTTCATGATACATGGGATCTTTACAAAGATAAATGGCACTCTGACTATCAGAAAAAACAACAGGGGTCACATTTTTTCCTAAGACTTCACCCAGAACACCCTTAAGCCATTTGGCTTCTTTAATAGCTTCAGTGGCTGCAATGTATTCAGCCTCTGTGGATGACAGGGCTACAACAGATTGCAACTGGGACTTCCAGGAAATACAATTTCCAGCCCATGTAAAGAACCAGGAAGTAGTAGACCCTCTCGAAAGCATCAACATTCAGTTTAAGATCCTTTCATAAGCTCCATCTCACAATTTTAATCTTAGGTCTATCAAATCAAAAGTTCCTAGGGATTAGGCCTTCCTCCTATAGAAGTGAACAACCTCTATTAGTCTTCATTTTCCTAAAAGTAGCTGATCACTCCTGAGAGAAGAGACGTATATGATGAGTAATAACATTTATGCTGGGATGTTTGTCTAAATCACCCAAATCATTTTTGGGTATAACTTCCAAATGTGCCAGGATATGATTCTGGGTAAATTATGTTTGAACACATCCAAAATAGTTTTAGATCCAGCTTTAAGCTACCAGGATATTAGGATCTGTCTAATAGAAATCGAACCAGATGGAAATGGAATTTCAAACACTCCCATAAAATATCTCCAAATATCCTTTGTATAAGAGCACTAAAAAAGGAGATGATTCATATTTTCACAATCTTTTCTACAAAATGGGCATATAGTAGGGTAAATAACCTGGTTAAATCTCCCGAGATTATGTGAAAAAAGAAGAAACATATGTAGCAACTTGCCAACTTCCATTGAAAAAGTTTGATTTGAATGAATTGCTTCTTGTGCCACAAATGAATGAAGGAAAATGTCTCCTTTTACGCCATCTAATAGCTTCAAAGGTTGAAGAAAAAGAGAATGTATCATTGCTACCAGGTAACCATGTAATTTGAACATTCTGACCAGAAGAAGTTAGGGACATCCCTTTACCATTAATATCAACGATCCTCTTCCAAATAGCAGAGTCAGTACTCCTAACTGGCTTCCTGAGACCCCTAGGGTATCTCGCATGACAAAAAGAGGCCCATAAAGATTCTTTGCATTTCCACTTCCACCATAATTTCAGGGAAAAGACTTTCTTAATATCTGATAAGGACCTAATACCAAGTCCTCCTTCATTAGTTGGTAAACAGGTGTCCTTCCATCGCATCCAATGATAGTTATGCCTACTGTCCTTAGAACCCCATAGAAAATGAGTCATTTTCTTCTCAATAATTCTGATCACAGACTTAGGAAGTGTATCCACCGCCAAAAAATGTAAAGGAACAGTGTTTAAAAGATGCTTGATCAGTATTAACCTGCCTGGCTGCCTCCCTAATTTAAATTCCTTTGCTTCTTTGCAGTGAGCTTCTTATCAAATGTTTTTATTATATGTGAACAAAATCTAAGATACTTCACATGAAGATTTGTTTTATTTATGCTAAGCAACCTCTCCATTTTCCTAATTCGAGTAAGGGAAGTGTTTCCACACACAAAATTACTTTTGCGGAAATTAATAGCCTGGCCAGATGCATTTTGATTAAGATTCAAAAATGATAGTAAAGACCTTGCATCTCCATTAAGAAATATTATAATATCATCAGCAAAACATAAATTAGTTATGGAGAACTCATCCTTCCCAATCCAGTAGGGTTTTATAGTGCCAATTTAAATCAATTCCTTTAAGCCTCTGGAGAAAGCTTCGGTAGCAATAATAAACAAGAAGGAAGATAGAGGATCCTCCCGCTTAACACCTCTGAAAGGCTGAAAAAATCTAGTAGGAACACCATTAATTAGAACTGAGAATCTGGTGGCTTTTAGATGCTCCAACACTAGGTTAGTGAATGAGGCAGAGAATCGAAATTTATTAAGTATTGCTTCAATGAAGGTCAAGACAGCCTGTCAAAGCCTTGGTCATATCAAGTTTGACCATTAAGTTTGTACCTCTCACCTTTTTATTAAGAGAATTAATCATTTCCTGAGAAACTAGAATGTGGTAGAAATATCTCTTGCTTGCATAAAATCAGCTTGTTCATGGGAAATTAGCTTAGGTAACAGTATACTCAGTCTAGATGTCAGTACCTTTGTGCATAGTGCATACCTTGCTAATTAAATTTGAGAGGCTAATAGGCCTAAAGTTTGAAAAAGAAGGCGGCCTCTCCTTTTTAGGAATGAGAACAATTAATGAACTGGCCATAGCCTGAGGTATGTGATTTCTTAGAAAGAAATCCTGGACAGCCCTTACCACATCCCCACCTACAATATGCCAACATTTTCTGGAAAAAAAAGCCCATTAAATCCATCTGGACGTGGAGCTCCATTTTTGTTAAGCTACCAAACTGCTTTCTTAACCTCATCATCATTAGGTAAAATAAGAAGTGTATTGTTGTCACTATCATCCACTAATCTGGGAACATATTTTAAGATTTCTTCAACATTATGCACATGTTTTGAAGTTAATATCTCTCTGAAGTACTGTTCAGCAGCCTTACCAATATTATCCACATTTGTACATAGTTGACCCATTGAATCTTTGATAGAGGTAATTTGTTGCATCCTTCTTCTAGTGTTCACATATGAATGGTAAAATTGAGTATTGAAATTACCTCTTTTAACCATTTAATATGTGCCTTCTGCTTCCAAAAAGTCCTTTTCTGCTTATGTTTAGAGAGTAGGGCAGTTTGTTTAAGGGACCAAACATATCTGTTTTCCACTGATGGATCATTCTCAATCAGAATTTCAGCTTGTAAAACATCTTCCTTTAGTTTTTTAACTTCATCAAATATATTACCATAAGAGGACTTATTCCAACCCCTCAAAACAAATTTCAGGAATTTAAGTTTGTCATACAAACCTCTCATCCCTCCTCCACCATAATTTGAACTTTCCCATGTTGGTTTAACAATA